GTGTGCCCTGCGATTGGCTGGCAACCGGTTCAGGGTGTCCCTCGCCTCCTGCCCAAAGTCGGCTGGGATAGGCTCCAGCACCCCCCGCGACCCTTGTGAGGATTAAGCGGATCAGAAAATGGATGGATGGTATTGAAATGACCGTGCTTGGTAATCTGTTTGTTTAGTGCGCCCTGTTCTTGACTGGTGCCCAGTCCAGGGTGTACGCCACCAAGTCTCCTGAGATAAGCTCCGGCTCACTTCCAACTCTAATACAGACAAGCAATACGGAAAATAAATCAAGTAACATGCAAAACCGGAACGTAAGGTCTATGCCCTCATGCCGGGGGGAAAACATGTCCTCATTATATCCATTTAGCAGTTGATTTAAAAACTGCCCAATGTCTTCCCAGTTTTCAAAAATAAACATCTTTATTTCTTATTAACAGGAGCTATTAAACTCACCACACGCACAAATAGCCAGCCCGTGACCGCAGTTTTACAATTGCATCGACATTTCTGTCCCATTGCTTCGTTGAAGAACAATGCGGGAGTGAGCGGTTGTATTCATCCGGAACTCTAATACAGACGAGCAGTACGGAAAATAAATCAAGTAACATGCAATACCGGAACGCAAGGTCCATGCCCTCATGCCGGGGGGAAAACACGTCCTCATTATATCTATTTAGCAGTTGATTTATAAACTGCCTAATGTCTTCCCAGTTTTCAAAAATAAACATCTTTATTTCTTGTTAACAGGAGCTATTACACTCACCACACGCACAAATAGCCAGCCCGTGACCACAGTTTTCCAATTGCATCGACATTTCTGTCCCATTGCTTCTTTGAAGAACAATGCGGGAGTGAGCGGTTGTATTCATGCGACATCTCTGATGTTGATTGCTAGAACGTATTTGCATCTGGATGCTTGCAGGCAGGTTAATAAGAAGAACCCGTGCTTGAAATTGCTTTGTTATGTATTCATCATCAGCGAGTTGAGCCATGAAAATCTCAATCCTGACCGAGGTGATAACATCAGCGCGGCCACTCTAATATGTCATCCAAAATGATGTGGCTGTTGTATGAGGGTTGAGGTTACGCCAGTTATTGCACCGCAAATTAGCTGTCGTTCGTATTTGTCGCGTCTGTTCTTAAGACGAAACGGGGTGAAAAACTGTTTTGCATTTCGGCTGCTCCTAACAAGTGCAGAATTGAGTCGACAATGCCAATCATATGGCAAGCATACGGGAAGACTATAATTTTATGAAATGAAAATAATATTACATGACTGATAAGAATGACGAGTCGTTTGGGGCGTTAATCCATAAGTTGCGCATTTCCGGCTCCTGAGCTGTGATTTTCTAAGGTTGACATTTCAGTTGAGCCTCATAATCAACATTTTAGAGGCTCAGTTGGAAAAAAGAAACTTGTTTCATCCATTTAAATTGTGTTCTCTCCAACCTCTGTTTGTATCCAAGGTGGCATTTCTCACTTTATATTTTTGCTTTGCTCAGTGGGGACGCCGGTGGAATGTCGAAGCGGCTTAGGATGACAGCGATGGTGGCGGCAGGGGGTGCCGAAGAAGAAGTAGATAGGAGATAGGAGCTGAATGTGAAGTGAAGGCAGGCCGATTCGCAGTCGAAAATGACATGAGCATTGTTTTTTTTCTTCTTCTTCTTTTCATTGCCAGTCACTTGACATTTATGTGATATTTGCAAAGACAATAAACCATGTCCTTAGAAAAATGCTGGATTCTGACCGTGCAAATATTACGTTTGTATACATAAATAATAACATACATGGGTGGCATTCGTGGCGGTATGCAAGAAAACAGAATTACTTGAGATTGTGTATGCCGTCTGGTGTTGCTGGCACGTTGTATCGTCGCATGTACTCGTGCATCTCGGGAAAACTCTTTTTAACGTAGTCCTCAGCGCTGCTTTCTCTCACTGTGGCGAATCGAAATCCCTGCGAGGGATGGTGCAACTGCAAGAAAGATAGTGGAGACGTTCAAGTTTTAATATAAGTCTAAAAATAAATCTAAATGATTTTTTTTCTTCCCAAATGACAACAAAAACTCTCCACTGTAGTAACCGCTGTACCTGAAAGGGTGAATGTGACTAATACCTTTGGGTCATGAATCCCTGACAGCTGCTCATAGGTCTTCTCACCAACCATGACTGCCGCCAGATTCGCAGTGTAGGTGGACAGGCAGAAGAGACAGAAAATGGCCCAAAGGTTCATCAGCAGACGGCCCGTCCAGCACTTTGGAGGCTTGATGGCCACCGTTCTCCCAAAAAGTATAGCGTAGCACACGTTTAGAGCCGAGGAGAAGGAGAAGACGCGATCTCGGTTGCGTCCGCGTGGGGTCATCCCAAATGGGCTGTGCCACTCGTACAAGGTGAGGAAGATGGCGGTGACGTGGAGAGAGACAAAAATGCCAAGCCACATTGACCAGTGGAGAGGCCACATGAAGGCCCCGATGGGGGCTGCGGTGTCACGGGTGCGAACCTAAACACACATATACAACACGAGGTCAAAACTTACTTTTCGGATGTACTCACCGTCGGCCATTCAAACCGGATTTGCTCCTGTTCCTCATCGCCTTGCTGCGAAAGCTTTTCGGGCTTCTGCCCCTTTTACAAAGCAATCATGCCTATTCATTATATAACACTGAATTGTTAATTTCGATTGGAAAAATGTAGTGATTATGATGAATAGAACTGATCATATTATGACATGCACAGGCATCAAAAAAAATCTCTTCCAAGCATTCGAGAAGAGAGTAGGGAGGGAAATTCACTGGACGTTTGGTGTCAAGTGGGCTGAAGCACAGCTCAGATTGCCTCGTTTGACCAGAAATCTTACCGTATTTTCCGTATTTTGATATTTTCCACACTGGCGGAAACTGAGAAAAACAACTGACGATGACTCTGACGTAAGCGACGTAGAAGAGGAAGCGCTGCATCTTCTACCTCCGGAGTTGGCGGAATTGTTTAAAAGTGACACAGAGCATGAAGATTTCATTGGATTTCGTGATTTGGAGTGACGCTGATGGTTTGGTAAATTTGTTAGCATGTTCTTTGTGCTATAGTTGTCTAAATAACTTTTAATATGTTACGTGAACATACCAGGCACATTCACAGTTCGTTGTTTAAGCATCATGCAACGTTAGCATATCGTACACACAGCCTGTTGTTCTCTAGTTTTATTTTTATTTTAAATTGCCTTTCAAGATGACATGTATGTTTTTGGTGTTGGATTTTATCAAATAAATTTCCCCCCAAAATACGACTTATACTCCAGTGCGATTTATTTATGTTTTTTCCTTCTTAATTATGCATATTTTGGCTGATGCGATTTATAATCCGGAGCGACGTATAATCCGAAAAATACGGTAATAGTTTCAGTGTTGTCTTACAAGCGTTAACAAAAAAAAAAAAAAAAAATTCAGTTACATGATTGTACGGAAGTCACTACATAATTCTGACCAATTTTAACTCCTGATAAATATACGTCACAGTTCAGTAAAAAAATACCTCGATATTTTTCAAGTGGAATGAATCCCACTTGAATGATAGCATGCGGAAGATCATGAAGTAAGGCCGGATTTATGCGATGAGTTCTCAAAACTCTGTACGGTCATTGGAATGGATAGATTTGTGAGGATATAGTCCCACCAGGAAAAATAAACCATAACATCTCTTTATGTAAGAGAATACAGAGTAACAACGACTGCTTTTGTCAGCGACCGAGGTCATATAAAATCATTGCAGTAATAAGGCAACCAGTCAAATCTCATGCCGAGAATTGTAAAGCGTGCAGTAAAAAGCCGGCGCCTTGCAGACGGTAACCAGCAGATCAGTGATCAGAGTGGCTTGTGGTGAGGTCAATGAGAGAGAGATGGAACAAAGCGTAACGGGAATAGAAAAATGGGAGCAATCAAAAAGAGACAACTGACCAGAATTCCCAGGCTGGTGGAGAAGAAGGGCGAGGTGAAGTCAATGACTTGGCTCCTTGCTGAATTAATGCTGAAAGACGTCACAGCCAGGTGAGCAGCACCACTTAGCAGGTCACCCACTAATCCCGTCCAGCGGCCATTCTTAAAGCCTCCGTATTTCCCATCCCCAACAATGTAAAGGTCAAAGCTGAATCCCATGTCCTCCGCCAGTTTCTCCAGCAAGTCAATACAATAACCATAGCAGCATTTCTTAGCGTCCGTGGGGACAGATCCATTTGGTCCTGCAAGATTTTGGAAAAAACTCTGTAAAACCGATGAGTCGTTGGTGAGTGGGTCGAGGCACAACTGGCCAGCGGGACACAAGCCGTCTCCATCCACATCCCGGGTGAAGACAAACGGGTGCTCCACCAGTGTCACTACCCGCAAATGCAGCCTCGTGGGTCTGCGCCAGTCGCCTCCCCCTCCGGAACCCTGGCGGCTCGTCCAGGCCCCCTGGTCCATCAGAACTTTCCCTCGGCGCCAACGTCCTAGTCTCGTCCAAGTTGGCTGGCCAAGAGGGTCCAGCTGGAGGGACCAGATGTAGTGATGGGCCTCGGAGATGACATTTTGGCTCTCACGATCTTTGAATATAAAGCCACTCTGGCCCTCAAAGGATGTGTTGGAAAGAAATCTGAAGGGAACGAAACACAAGCATGAATTATTCGCAGGAAAAGAAAGTTTGATTTTTGAGGGAAACAACCCAAGTCCAGAACTGAACTACAGTACAATATTTTTTTATTTGAATCCATTCATTGCCCGTAGCTTATTCTGTTCATGAACAAGGCATTTTTTTTTTTTGCCGATCCCAGCTAATGTTGAGCAAAAATTTGGTTACATCTTGGAATAGTTGCCAGAAAAAAAAAACATAACAGTCATAATTACACTCACATACAGGCAAATCTGAATTTTCAAGATACATATTTTTGGATTGCAGAAGGAAGTTCAAAGAGAACATGCATAATCCAGCTCGAAGCAACAGGTGCTTATCACTTCACCCCCCCCCTCACCCACACACACATGCACACACACACACACACACACACACACACACACACACACACACACACACACACACACACGCACCACCCTGAACCATGACAGTAAACAGGATAAGCAGTATAGAAAATAGATGGAGAGCTGTCAACAGCATCAGCAACAGACACAAGCCAATTTCACACCGAATTCCCAAATAATTGCGGTTTCAGACGCATAACAGCAGAGCCATGAGTTATTTGGCAGTCTATTTCAGACAGAAGTCACTGAAGCGAGACATTGCCCATAACCCAAGTATGCCATACTCGGCTCGAATTGAGATAGGCTACAAGTGTAGTGACATCACCACAGAAGCGTCATAGTTTTCCGTGAATTAATCGTGAATGATAATCTCTAATCACGGTTAATCCACCGGCTACATTCCACTTCTTTTAAGCGTCTGCGTCTCAAGCTCGGAAGACAGCAAATTTGCTGGTTAGTTTAAATTTCACATCGGTAGTTTATAGACGGGACAACGAGCGGATGAGAAGGCTCGGATGGCCAGTGTGCAAAGTGGCCTCTTATCCTTGTTTACTTTAAACATGTCACTTTCAGCCTTGTGGACATCTGTCACTTTATTGCAGCAGTAACAAATCAATCCACTCATGAGGAGAACGTGAAAAGGTCACAAGGCAATCATTGAACGGTGATTTGTGATTATCTACTTTACCGGACGTGGAATGTTTGTTACGCCAGTTGGAATTGAAATGTCAGTACCTTTTCAATTTTAGGATGTTTCATCACAAACATGATATTATTCATTTGTGCGATGAATATCATTGCAGTAAAAAGACAAATTGGAATTAAAAAAAAAGAAACACACCACATTGTGAAAGAAATTTTACGGGTATGTTTCCTATCCACGTGATTGTTGATCTGCAACTTTTTTTTTATATATAAAAATGCTGGCGTCCGGCGACTGAGAAGAGGTGTTCAGTCTCGGTGGCCTCCCCATAAATGTGTGTGTGTGTGTGTGTGTGTGTGTGTGTGTGTGTGTGTGTGTGTGTGTGTATATATGTGTGAAAGTGAGTGTTACAGCAGAGGACAGAACATGGCCCTATGATCACGCCATGCCTCTCAGTGAGCCATGCTACTGGCTGTCCGAGAGTGTCAGGAACCAGAACGGACACGCACACTCACACGCACGCGCAGTCATCTTTTCTATCACATCAGTGGACATAACAATGAAGTCAATTCCCTGCTTCCCCAAGCTCAAAAACCTGACCGCACAAAGGTCACTCACTTATATACGAAGATTTAATCCGAACAAACAGTACAAAGTGTGTACAGGCACACACAAACACAAACTTGATTACATTGAGACTTAAATATGCTTAAAATAAAAATAACAAATGAAGGGCTGATTTTATTTGGGTTACTAATATCTATTCAATGGTATGTTCTATGTTTTTGTTTAGGTAGGATTATTTTTTGTAACATACCGTCATGGTGTAACAGGTTTTGATCTCAGGTTTTGGATGGGTGTGATCCCGGTTTGGCCACTGAGTGCATGTCTGATGTAGTTTTCCGTGGTCCATGGGATGCTCAGGGAGTTTGTGTGATTGCTCAGACCCATGGAAAATTCGAGACAACTATGTCTGCATGTGCCAATCTCAAAATGATCATCTCAGTCACGTGATACAAGAACAAAGTACCGTATTGGCCCGAATATAAGATGGTGTTTTTTGCATTGAAATAAGACTGAAAAAGTGGGGGTCCTCTTATATTCGGGGTCTAGACATTATACCTATTCATGGCACTAGATGGTGCCAGATATCATTGAAGCGAATGTTGAACTCGACTCCCCAGGCCAAAGTGAACCCCTGTCACGAAGAATAAAAATAAAAATAGTGGTAGCACAAAGAAGAAAAATAAAAAAATAGCGGGAAGAAAAATAAAAAAATAGCGGTCAGAAAGAAAAGAGAAGAAAATAATGGAAGAGATAACAGAAAATGGAGAAACGTAGCGACAATCTGGAGAAAAGTGGGTCTAAGATCGGCCAGGTTAACCGGCAGCTGAGGAGAAGTTATGATGTACATTTCAAAAATCAGAAGCCATTCATTTATGAATGTGATTGCACTTTAGGTTACATATCTAAATGTTCAGATATTAAGATTTGAATGAGGCAAAATACCATGCTTTTTCTCTCAAATATATTGTTATAATCATTTGTTTCAGATGTACTGGAATTATTTTCTGTATAAAAATTAATTTGGTGTTCAAAAAGTCTTTTTTCAAACTTGAGTGTTGAAAAAGAGGGGGTCGTCTTATAATCAGGGCCGTCTTATTTTCGGGCCAATATGGTAATCTTAAAAAAGTCACAAAAGTTGTAAGTGCAGATGGGTAAAAACTATAACTTTTTAAATGCAAATGTGTTCCCTTGGCCCCAAAAAAGTTGTAGTACAAAATACAAACAACCATTTTGGACAGATGAGATCTTTAGCATCTGGCAGACAAAGGCTCCACGGCTATTTACTCACTCTCACTGGCATCCATTAAATAGTTGCACTGAGAATAACCCATCTTTTGGTACACCATCTGAACTTGCATCTCTTTGATAGCCTCAATTAAAACTGAGCTGTATTGTATTACTGCAGTTCAGAAAAAGGTGTTGCTCTGCTTTAATTGTTGATGGTGTCCACTTAAAGAAAGAAAGGAGATGAGTTGGTAGACTTTGTGACGCGCAGTCACGATTTAGGAAGATGGCCTCTCACGGTTGTCTCTTTCATTTCCGACGCCGGCCCTGATTTGGCTGTCTCGCGCAACTACAACACGCAATGTGACATACAACCCCCCCCAAAAAATGGCTCCTGCTATCAAGAGTCTCGCTGACAAGTGTGATGAGTGTCAATGCTGATATCACAGAACTTTTGTTTTGTGGAACCTGATGGGACACTCATTCTCATGCAGCGACGGCAAGCACTGACTACTGAGGAGAGGGCGTTAGTTGGGGTGGGATTGAAGGAGGGATGGGGGGGGCCTTGACTTCAATCGGAAAATCAAAGGATCCCAAATTAGTCATTACAGATGACACAATCACTCTCGAAAGCCTCTTTTTCAGAGAGTGTCCAATATGCCGTATGTACTGCAGGACATCGCAAGCAATTTGTGGACATGTGAAAATGATTTACAATGACGCGTTGACGCTGACTGATAATTACATATTAAAAAAAATAGTCCGAGTGCAGGGAAAGAATATACGGCGACAGAGAAAAGTGAATTCTGGACACTTGTAACCCTTTCAGGGACAGCGGTCACTACAGTGGACAGTTTATCATGTTATCAGGTTACAGGGAGCATGAATTTTTTTTTTTTTTTTGGTCCCCAAAACGGCACGTCTGTGAAAAAAAGCAACAGCAAATTGCAAACTAAGAAATGAATTTAGAAATGATTCAACTGAAAGGAAAAAGGCAGATTCACGTGCAGTACATCAAAGTGAGTTTTCACTTATACAGCAAATTTTCAGCAAATTTTGAGAACACAATGACATGGAGGTGACCTGAATAAAATTATCTGGTATGCTTAAGATCCCTGTCCCGGATTATTCATTCGAAACTAGCTCATAATCAAATCCAAACATTTGGTGGTGTTCCATGTCATATTTTGTGTGTGCTGTAAATGCTCTGCTCATGGAATTTTAGTGCCAATATATTCTATTACAGTACTTCATTTCACTCATTTGCATGGAAGCGAATTTTATTGCTGAGGGATGCTTCGCCCTTTAAATACAACTCAACTCACAAGTTCACATGTAATAATCAGGTGTAATTTTCTTTTCAAGGTGGCCGCCATCAATGTCTCTTACACGCCACATAAAAATGACATTTTTATTATTTCCTGTGCAATTCATAAATGGAAGACTGACGGCATTAAAGCGGAGCAGAGAAGCTGATATTTTAAGCGGAAGAGTGACAGCGGGGTGAATCTAATCTGTTTCTCACCAACGCAACCTCATGTGTTCTTGATGCCAGAAGATACGCAAAGGAAGGAAACGCAGCAGCTTTTATGTTGGCTTTAAAACAATCCCACACCCCCCAGAGCAAGCAGGAAAGTGTTTGACTTACACGGGGCCTTTCAGTACAACACACGCAGTAAACATTTATTATGTAGTACTCTCTATCTTTGTAACTCAGCGAGCTGGCGCATTAAGGCTACAAACACACCTCTGTCAAGTGATCACTATAAATAGGGGTCATCTCCGTTAAGTGGAAACAACCAACAAAAAAAGATAACCTGCTGGCATTTCTCTCTTGGCAGTACCCTAATCTACTTAACCGGGTAATTGCTGTGATAGCAGCTGTATCTCTGTCTTCAGTGTGTGTGCGTGTGTGCGTGTGTGTGTGTGTGTGTGTGTGTGTGTGTGTGTGTGTGTGTGTGTGTGTGTGTGTGTGTGTGTGTGTGTGTGTGTGTGTGCGTGCGTATATGTATATATTCATATATACGCATCCATCCATCCATTTCCATTATCCTCACAAGGGGCGCTGGAGCCTATGCCTGCTGACTTCGGGCAGTAGGCGGGTTCATTTTTATTGCTTTTAACGCATTTTCAGCCCCCGCAGAGCACGCTTTC